AGGGAGGGAGGGAGGGAGGGAGGAAGGGAGGAAGGGAGGAAGGGAGGAAGGGAGGCAGGGGGAAAGAGGGAGAGAGAGGGAGAGAGAGACAGAGAGAAGAGGAGGGAGAGAGACAGAGATATATACACACACATGGTGTGTGTGTGTGTGTGTGTGTGTGTGTGTGTGTGTGTGTGTATGTTCAATCAGGTGTGATTATAACCACGTGCAGATTCCTGGAAGTTCTAGGAAATCACTGGTCTCACTATTCTTCTAAGTAATGTCAGTTATTAACCAACATTGCCTATATGTGAAGAGATTCTTAAGATGGCAAATTCTTATTAACAAAAAGAGACCAAGACAAATATTGGTATGTGTTTACTACTCTACTTACAGAAGCAGTGAATGGCATCAGTAATGTAACAGGGCCCAAGACCTTGGTAGGTCTCCAGACCTTAGCACAAATGACTCCATGATAGAACTGCAATTCAGGCTATAAAACTCAGCACATAGACAGCACCACATGCCAAAACTAAAACAAAGACCTAACCCATCAAATCTACATTAGGAAAGTCTCTAAATATACTAACCTTGTTTTTTGGCTTCTGTAGTTCTGTTTCTGGCTAACTGTTCTTGTTAACTGAATGTGTCAACCCAGGAAATTGTGTGTGTGTGTGTGTGTGTGTGTGTGTGTGTGTGTGTGTGTGTGTGTGTGTGCTTGAAAGCTCACCCTGAAGAAGACTCAGTGCTACACTGGGATCTTGAACATCCAGTGTAATTGCTGGCCAGTTAATAAAGGGTTTCTATTGGCGTAAACCCATGTCTAAGCAGTCTTGTCTGGAGAATACCCCACAATAGATTAAAGTTACCTCTTGGGGAAGTGATTGCTTCTGCCTATGTATTTCATTGTTGCTCACTGGAAGTTCTGTAAAGCCTTATGGAGAAGAAAATCAGGAAATTGCATTCTAGGAATTATTCCCTTGTCATTTAATTAAGAGGCTTGAAGATGATATTCAAAAACACACTTCTCAGTCATTTATGTCCAAATTATAATTTTGCTTTCCCATCTAGGTTCCTAAGAGTAAGATTTTGGAGTCTACTAAAATAGCAATAGATATTGGGTTCCGCCATATTGATTCTGCTTATGTGTACCAAAATGAAAAGGAGATAGGACAGGCTATTCGAAGAAAGATTGCAGATGGTGTTGTGAAGAGAGAAGACATATTCCTCACTACAAAGGTATTATGTGTGTGGCAGGCTGGTATATGAATTAATGAAATGTGATGTAAAGAATCTAAAATTATATTATTGCCTTGCTAGCTGGTGAAATGTGTTTTTTGGTATAACATTTATACACACATATATTTCATATAAGGCTTAGTTTAAATCACAGAGAACCACAGGCTTCTTACTTTCTACAAATGTATGGCTTTCTAATCCTTTTCTTTCCTGAGCCCAGGCTCAATATAGCATCATTCAGTCTTATCTGTGAACTCAGAAATAGCCTTGATCAATTTTGGGTTTTCTTTATACCTTGGGAAGCTTAGAAAATCATGAACATTTAGAATATTAAACATTTTATTTCCTACTGAAAATAAGAAAACATCAGAGTTCATGGAATGTTAAACAAAATCTATGCAATTCATGAAAATTTGTGCTCACTGGTCATTAAATGTTCATAGCATATTTCCCATGATTTATATTAATAAACATATGCTAACATATTTCTGGGGACTTGAGAGGATGGGATGCTTATAGAAATTTAGATTTATAACATCTACATATCATTCAGAGATTTGAGCATTATGACTTGGTAAATTTTACCCCTTTAGTAGTGTCTTTACCATATTAATCGGATTAACTAAGAGTTCAGATCAAATAACTCAACTGAAATAAATAGTATGCCCCGTGGTTATTGTTTTCTACTCATTACAAAATTTCTCAATTGTTATTATTTTTAACTAAGACAATGCCCATTCTTTAACCCTGCAGCTTTGGTCTACATTCCATCGACCAGAACTGGTCAAAGTTGGCTTAGAAAGATCACTGAAAAACTTTCAACTAGATTATGTTGACCTCTATCTTATTCATTACCCAATGTCAATTAAGGTATGCCATTTGTATCATGTAGCCTAATTAAATTTGTTTATATAAATGAGAGATGGTGTTGTACACAACTTATTTCATGGATGTTTACTTTCCTATTTCCAATAGATTTCTAAGACCTCTGCAATGGGTGGGATGCATGTATTTACTGAGATTTCTATAACAAGTGCTTTCATTACAGCCATCAGAGGAGATATATACAAAAAATGAAAATGGAAAAATTTTATTTGAGACTGTAGATCTCTGTGCTACCTGGGAGGTGAGTACATGAAGGTAAGACCTCAAAGAAACCCAAAAGAGAGAGTCTGGCCATGTTTTCACTTACGAGAATGGAATATGGACCCATGAGTCTTGGGAGCATCTTGTGTTCATGGTGCTTTCCTGAAGTAGTGGAACAGAATACATAATTGAGTATAGAGAAGTAGAAGTGAAGACCAGAGTATAATTGGAAGAGTACTCTCTGCAATATCACACACAGGTGTCTTTTAGTAAAATCTTCCCCCTCCAACTTCTCACCAGCACTGTCCCCAGAACTCATGTACTCTACTTTAAACGCACTGAGTCCACTTAGTACTGCTTGTATGTACAGGAGTGATGTATTGTAAGATGGGCAACTTATCAGAAGTTGGACAAGATGAAAACTGAGTCTCCCTCCTCTTGCACCCATCAGTTGACAATATTTCCTCAGCTAGGGGTTGCAGTCTGTGAGCACCATCTGATCCATGTTGAAGATGCTTTCTTTTTTCCAATGTACAACTTTGGCTACTTTGTTGAAAAGCAGGTGTCCATAGAAGTATGGATTTACATCTGGGTGTTCAATTGGATTTATTGACCAACCTGTCTGTTTTTAATGCTGATACATTAAGATTTTTATTACTATAGCTTTGTAGCAGAGCTTGAGATCAGAGATGGTGATACTTCTGGAAGTTCTTTTATTGTACAGGATTGAACTGCAAGCTGCCACCTATGCTAAATATTTTCCTTTGTGAGAGTTGCCATGGTGCCTCTTCTCTGCAAGAGAAACTCTAATTAAAACAGGAGTTGGTACCCAGGACTGGGGTATTGTTGTGATAGGCCTGACCATGTTTGTGTTTGGAAGAATTTGGACTTTGGAAGTCATGGTTAAGAAAGCAGTGGAATGCTTTAAAAACTGCATAATTGGCCAAACTAATTGGAGCATGGAAGACAGTGGTGCTAATTGTTATTTGAACTATGGGGGTTCACTCAAGAGGTTATAGAGGAGAAGAATTTTAGTATGTTGCCTAGAGATCATTCTTGTGATATTTTGGTGAAGAAACTGGCTGCCTTCTGCCCTTGTCTGAAGTGTCTGCCTGAGGCTAAAGTGAAGAGTTTTGGATTAATTCTGTTGGCAGAGGAAATCTCAAAACAGCCTAGTATAGATTCTGTTGTATGGTTAATAGTGGTAACTCTAATGAAGATTTATAACAAAAAGGAGCAAACTGTGCAGGGTAAATTACAAAATGTAAATTTTGGGGAGAAAAAGAGTACCAAAAATGGAGTAGCACTAAATTCTGTGTTCAAAGAGATAAACAGATTAACAAATGGAATAAAGAGAGTGGTGACCTCAGGGCAGGATCCCACTCTGCTAAATTTTCAATTTGTGAAAAGAAACTAAAGAAAAGCTTAGAGCTGGGTGTGGTAAGGCACATCTTTAATCCCAGCACTGGGAAAGGGGAAGCTGGCAGATCTCTGAGTTTGATGTCACCCTGGTCTAGAGAGCAAGTTCAAGGATGTTTTATGTGAGTAATTTTTTAGATTTAACATTTTCTTTGACCAATGTTTCTATTTCTTCTACTGTGTCAATGTCTGAGGTTCTCTCTTCCGTCTCGTGTATTCTGTTGGTGATGCTTGCATCTGTAGTTTCTGTTCACTTACCTAGATTTTCCATTTCCAGAATTCCTTCAGTTTTTTTTATTGCTTCTATTTCCATTTTCAGTTCTTGAACAGACTTGAAAATACATTTCTCTCCACTGTTTGTTTTTACTGGTTTTCTAGACATTTTAAGAGATGCATTGATTTCTTCCCATTTTTTTTTAGTCTTTTCCTTGATTTCTTTAAAGGTTTATTCATTTCCTCTTTATTGGCTATTTTGGAATATTTAGGGCTTGCTGTAGTGGAATTTCTGGGCTTTGGTGGTAGCATAGTTCCTGGGCTGTTTCTGTTCTTATACTTATATTTAGACATCTGGAGTTATTATAGGTTTAGGCACCAAATCCTGCATTTGTCCTTGTTGAATGAATGTTTTCTTCCTTGGTTTCTGAGTCCTCTCTGGTCTTCTGACTGCCATGGCTTGTGGTTGGGTCGAGTTTCCACCCATGTTGGGCGATGGACTTCTGATGGCCTGAATGACCTCTGGTCTAGCAGGTGGTTGCTGTCCAAGTTTGGGACTGAAATTCTGGCTATGTATGTGGCCACCAATCTGGCCTGGGGGCTTCTGGGGTTCAGGATGCTGGTTTGGCTTCTGGTGGCATAGGAGATTCCACCAGAGGTGTGGGACAGGATAAGGTGACAAGATGAGAAAGGGAGCCTAGGGTTATCCCATAACACAATTTTAAATGGGATTGTTTGTTTTCTTTTAGTTCAGTTTTTTAAAGTACTTTGTAGTACTTCATGTTTAGGGTTTTTTGTTTGTTTTTGTTTGCTTTTGTTTTTAGTATACATTGCCATTTCTAGACAGTTCTTTTAACAGTTCCATTTTTCATTCATATTAACCAAATGTCTTTGTTAGGGTTTCTATTTCTGTGATAAAACACCACGGCCAAAAGAAACTTGAAGAGGAAGAGGTTTATTTCAGCTTATAGTTTCACATCACAGTCAATCACTGAGTGAAGTCAGGAAAACTCAAACAGGTAGGAACCTAGTGGCAGGAACTGAAGCAGAGACCATGGAAGAGTATTGTTTACTGGCTCGCTTGCCTTATTGTACCATCCAGGAACACCCTGCAAGGGATAGCACCACCCACAATAGGCTGAGGTTCCCCCTCCTCATCAATCACTAATTAAGAAAATATTCTATACATTCACCTACATGCAAATCTTAGGGAGACATTTTTTCAATTGAGAGCCCTTCTTCCCAAATGGCTCTAGCTTGTGTCAATGTGATATAGAACTTGTCAATACACTTTATAAATGTATATATGGCCCTAAACAATTCTTCTTTCCCTAGGCCATGGAGAAGTGTAAGGATGTAGGACTTGTCAAGTCCATCGGGGTGTCCAACTTTAACCGCAGGCTGTTAGAGATGATCCTGAACAAGCCAGGGCTCAAGTACAAGCCTGTGTGCAACCAGGTGAGAACCCTCAAGCCTCTTTTTCTGGTCTTCATGATCTTCTTTCTGTCATACAGCAGGTAACCATTCCTTCCCACTTCTCATTCATCTTAGATTTATAGAATACAATATTCTCATAGTGGTGTCTTTGTCCCAGAGCACATTGCAGATTCTCAATTATATCTCTTCTTGATGGTGTCTTAGTAATGATGGCAGCATGATATTAGTGCCCAATGAATATAAAAATCTGCAGATATGAATGTGACCTCAGAGCCAAAAGCATAGTTCCTGACTGGATGCTTGCTATAAAAGGACCCAGGTTAGACAGATGAGTTACCAGCTTACAGTGGTTTTAGTGGTAGACGAAGTCCACTCACAGAACACAAGCTGACCTTGTTCCTGACCACATCTTAGTTGTCATCTCTTTTGTGTCTTCTGCAATCAAATCAACCATTTACCATTTATGCACATGTGTCTTCTGTTCTAATTTACTTCTTAATAACTTTCAACCAGGGGAATAAGGGTCACTAATATGAAGTCAATTTATAAAAGAAATTAGCCATGTTACTTTCTTTAATTCCAATGGCATGTTGCACATATTTTTCTGTTTAAGTTCTGTTTACTTTTCATATGTATTTTTCATATTAATATTGGCACTTTGGGGGCTAGAGAGATGAAACAAAAGTTAAGAGTGTTTGCTGCTCTTCTAAAGCCTTGATTGATCTAACACCTTCTACCCTTAAAGGATACCAATATACACATGTACAGACACACATATACACACACAACCACACACTGACACAGTAAAAACTATTTTATTAAATAGAATTCCTTATAGTACAATATATTTCTATATTGTTCATCTATAGGTAGAATGTCATCCTTATCTGAACCAGAGCAAGCTATTGGATTTCTGCAAGTCAAAAGATATTGTTCTGGTTGCCTATGGAGCCCTGGGATCTCAGCGTCCTGAAACCTGGTAATAAGCAGAACCTTTTTTTTTTTGAGATTATGATTTAGTTGTAACATTTTCCCTTTCTTCCTCCTAACCCCCCATATGTCCCTCTTATTTTTCTTCAAATTCATTGCCTCTGTTTTCACTAATTGTTATTGCAAGCATATATATATATATATATATATATATATATATATATATATATATTAAAGACTACACTTATTTGTGGGTGTAAGGACAAACGTTTAGATTGTTGTTAAAGATTATGCAGTTTTAGTAAAGTAGTGGTGCAAGTTCTCCCCCAACATCCATGACTTCATTGTCACTGAGTAGTTGGCTAGGTTTCAAGTACCAGGCAAGGTGCCCCTCTTGTTGAATGGAGGATCTAAGTCTAATTAGAGAGTTATTGGTTACTGCCAAGGTATGTGTGCCACTACTGCACCTTCATTGTGTCATGTTGGTCATTGATATGGTTCATAGGTATCATATAAGAACATTTTATTTCTACAATCCTCTCTTTAAATAGCTTCTCTCTGAACTGATTCAGGAAGACAGGAGAATTTGTATCTTAGAAAGTCTCCTCAAAGTACTGATGCTTCTAGTCAAGGGAAAAACTATGATGATCTCTTGTCTAGAGCAATATCTTGATGTGTTTGGATGTCCCCTAAGAAACCAAACACTCAGCTTCAGTATTTCTGCTTTTCCTTTTAGGGTAGACCAGAATGCCCCATTTCTTTTGAATGATCCAGTTCTTTGTGCCATGGCCAAAAAGCACAATCGAAGTCCAGCACAGATTGCCCTTTGCTACCAGGTGCAGCGTGGGGTCATTGCCTTGGCTCATAGTTATGAAGAGAATGAGATGAAAGAGAACATTCAGGTAATGTGGGGAGCTATGGGTATCTAGAACCCTGGGGGTGGTGATATACTGGGTGCCCAAATATATTGTGTACACTAATAAAATTATCTGGGGATTAGAGGACAGAGCCAGTCACTAGATTAGATATAGAGGCCAGACAGTGATGGCACACAGCCTTAATCCTATCACTCTGGAGACAGAGATCTGTCTGTATCTTTGTGAGTTCAAGGCCCCACTGGAAACAGAGCCAGGCAGTGGTGGCACATACCTTTAATTCCAGGACTTGAGATCTCATGTCTTTGCTTGGGAAGGACACATGCCTTTAATCCCAGGAAGTAATATGGCAGGACACAGAAAGGTATACAAGACATGAGGAAAAAGAAACTCAGTCTTTATTGGTGGAGGATTTCATAGGGGTAAGAACTAGTGGCTTGCTCTCTGCCTATCTGATCTTTCAGCTTTTACCCCAATATCTGGCTCTGCATTTTCTATTAATAAGACCTTTTAAGATTCATGTTACACTGGGTGTTTTTCCTCACCCATAAGCTTCTTTGGAAACCTCTGTAAATTTTTTGTCAAATCATCGTCTGTAGCATTTCCTGTGCATGTGAGATTTCAAATGTGATTTTCAAGAACTGCTAACAGAACACAAAACTGAATGTTTACAAATGTGGTCATTTCCAGAAATATCAATAAATGCCAGAATATTCTCACAAGTCACGGATCTAGGTGCTAGGCATTCATTGCATTGATCTTTGTACTTTAGTCTAAATTTGAAACTTTCTGTACTTTTAATAACATATTCCTTCTTTTTTATTATTTATTTTTTGGTATTTTTTGAGACAGAGTTTCTCTGTAACAGCCCTAGCTTTCCTGGAACTCACTCTATAGATCAGGCTAACCTCAAACTCACAGAGATCCACCTGCCTCTACCTCCTGAATTCTGGGATTAAACGCTTTCTTATTTTTTTAATTAATTATTTTTATTAAAAATTTCATACAATATATTTTGGTATTCTTCTTCCATCCCAGCCTTCTCAAATAATAAAGAAAATATTGTCTGATAGAGAACACAGAGATTTAGTTTCCATCACTAAGTAAGACATGTACAAATGACATCTTTACCTTCCGAAATGGAGCATCTCTATTTTTATTATGTAAATTATTATGATTATTATTATCTTTTATATTCCCCTATATTTTCACATAATTTAGTGCTTCTGTGCTTATTCATTTTGAATGAATGTCAGTTTATGCTTTGTTATTTTAATTGATTGATGATCTTTCTATTTTCTACATGAGACCTTTTTGTTTTTTTTTCATGAAAGTCATTTTGAGGTTAAAAGAAAAATCACATATTTAGAGAATGAAGTTTTTCAAGCCAGTTCTTTTGTCCTAAGATATCATTTATATTTGGACAAGTCCTGGCTTAAATTTTATTTAAAGGGATATTGTTCAAATATATCTATATCCAGGGAAATTGATAGATTAACTTCTATATTTAAAACTATTCTCTTGATTCTTCAGAACTTTTAAGTACATGGTAATGCAGTCACTGAGTGATGCCATCTTTGTTTCTTCTCCAGCCATGTTTGAGTTTCCTCAGGTAGTGCAGTTTGAATATATCTCATCCCAAAGCTTATGGATCTTTGCAGAAGAGAGCGCAGAAAGATAGTAAGATCTAGCCAGGGGCGGCTGATAACATGAAGGAAATAGTATTTTCCATATGAACTCATTGTGATTGTAACAACATGTGCAAGCTATTTACAAGCTCCAGCTAGACAAAATTCTAGCAAGAAGGGGTAAGGTGTACATGTAAAAACACCACTAGCTGAGGAGACATTGGTATATCTAATAGCTACTGAGAGGAGAGTTACTTTCCATTAATGATGTAACCACTTATAGCAACCACATACTAGGACTATCTCAACACCAAAAGTAAGAGGGCAGTACAAAACAGACTCCATGGAGAAAGATGAAAATGAAAAAGTAATCTCACAGATGGAGGAGAAGGAATGAGAGGATAGAGAAAATGATAAGGGGAGGAGCCAAGGAATGAATATGCTCAAAATGCATTGTGTGAAATTCTCGATGTATTAATCAAAATCATGCACAAAAAGAAAAAACGTTTTCGTTTTTATTCCACCAGATAGTCCCTGATGACCTGTGCATTTTCCAATGTCTTTCATTATTTTTGTAAATTTATCAGCTCTTTTAAATATTGTATCTGAGCCAATATAATTAACTTGGGTTTTCAAGATTGGCAAGTTCACAGAGTAGATTTGTGAAAATCTTTTCTCCTTGTGTGATAGGTACTTGAATTCCAGTTGCCTCCAGAGGATATGGAAGTCATAGATGGCCTGAACAGAAATTTCAGATATTTTCCAGTGAATTTGTAAGTAACTTCAGTAAATGCTGTAAGGTTATTTGACAAACATGTTGCATCAATTTCCTAATTTTAAGTCTCTCCCTTCCTTTGGTGCAAATTTGTTCAGAGACCCACAATGGATCTTTTGGTGAGTTTCAGAGACAAAAAGGTTTCCATGAAGAGGCTAAAAGTTTTGGTGAGGGATTCAAAAGTAAGGAAAGACTATTTAAGCAGAAGTACATTTACTAAAGGGAGTTTACAATCTTTAAAATGTTTTTCTTCTTTCATTCTCTACTTTAGAACATGATCCTAACTGTATGTTACAAACAGGAGCAAGTAAGGCATCCATAAGCATTGTTTTAAAATTACTTTAATTAAAATATAAAATTTTACATATAAAATTAAAATATACATCATTCCACCCCTTCCCTCTCCTCCCTCTAGCTTCTCTCATGTCCCTTCCCTCCAATCACTCCCATCCCCCTTCTTCCTTCCTCTCAATTTGATGGCCTCTTTTTCTTTAGTACTGTTGCATACATGTGTGTGTGTGTGTGTGTGTGTGTGTGTGTGTGTGTGTGTGTGTAATCTGATAAGTCTGTTAGTGTTGCTTATGTGTATACGATTCTAGAGCTGACCCCTTTGTATTGGATAACCAAACAAGGGACTCATCACCAGAATATAATAATTCTCCCTCTCTTTGAAATCAATAGCTGCCTATAGGTTTTTGTCTAAATTTATTGCTTGTTGAAGGGGAATCTCCATTATCCTTTTGCTTGTGGTGGGAAATATTACCCATAAAGGAAATAAGTGTTATAGTGCTTGAAAGTGCATTGAAAAAAACCACAATTGTTTGGGCTCAAAATTTGGTAGATTTATTACTAAATTTTGTTAGCATTCAGCAAATGGTGGATAATGTATGGGAATAATATATATATACAGAGAAAGCACCAAATGGCTAGTAAATATTTTTACTTTATATATTGTATTGATATTAATATAAGGAGATCTACAAACATATATGGAAAGTTCCATGGGCATGGAAGACTTTTTAAAGGCATTGTGTCACCAATTTAAATATAATGTACTGTGTGAAATTCAGAATGACAAAAATAACTAGTGCATATTTAGCAGAATTGAAATTAGAACTCGTGAGTCAGGCATTCTTAATTTTTTGTGTTGATAATTATCTAGACTTGTTGTTGTACTAAAGATGCACAATTAGCACCTGTTTTCTTTAGGTGACTTAAATTGAAGAAGATTCTGGGGTTTTCTCTGCTGTGTTTGATTGTCAGAAGCACGTATGTGAAAACTTTTTTGGTTTTCTGTTCTAGGCCAGGGACTATAATCTAAATAACTTATTTATGGTATTTAAAAATTTTTTTTTATGAAGCTGCATTCGTGAAAGTAAGAAAGGCCGATTTTGAAACCAGGAAATACAGCAATTCAAATTCATTCTAGTGTCAGAGCCTGCAAGAAATAATAATAAATTATAGTAACAATAATTGTATATTTTGTTTGAGCCAGATTCATTGATCCCACATTGGACATTTCTCTTTCATATTTTAGTGCTGTTGGACACCCCAATTTTCCATTTTCTGATGAATATTAACATGATACCCTTTGTCATGGCTTCTACCTGAAGCTCCTAAATGAGGATAATGCTGCTGCTGATGATGATTGAGGTGATGCTAATGAGACCCACCACTTCTGGTTGATCCATACTACTTAGAAACTCACAGGCAACTGGAACCACATTCAACATCCTGGAAGAAAGACACTAAAGTTTTAATCACTTATTGAAATAAATATAATGTTCCTTTCCCTGAAGAATTGTGTCTGGTACCATCTTTCTTATTTGCACGTGTGTTTCTTTTGACTAATTATAACCAAAATTGATTTGGCTGAAAAATGGGAGATAATAATAGCCATTTAGGAAATTGAAGGATGGGAGAACATAGACTCTTCAAGCTCCAGGCAAGTGGACTTTAGATGGTGTTAAAAAGTCAGTGTTCTCTTATATTTTTGGTTGTAAAAAGGTGTGTGTGCATGAACATATTATCCTGTTAATAAAGCTAATCATAAAAATGTCAAAAAAAAAGAAGTCAGTGTTCTTAGCCCATAGGTCAACAAGAAAACAGACTATACTCACTAACCTTTTATCAGACCAAAGAGGCACACCTAAGAAGAGTCACCAAAAATGTCAAGTTGCTCCTATCAGTTCACTATCTGAGTCCTAAAAATGAGGAATGGAATATTTCTGTTTGAAAATACTTGTAACACTTATGAGATCATGACTGAATAGAATCTTATGTGCCTACTGTAAATTGAAGCTACAGAATGAAATTAATAAAATCTTAGCCTATGGAGTTTCAAATTTAAACTTGGAAATATAAAAAATCCAATTGCAATTTGCTAATTAACATTGCTTAGTACTTGGATGGGAGACTGCACAGTCTCTCTTAAGAAGTTGTTTCTGAAGCAATGAAAGAAACAGCAAGGAAAAGAAATAAAATCTTGGAGCACCTGGACCTCAATTCACTACAGCCTGAGTCTGTGTGAACTCAAACAAGTTCTGTGTGAGGTTAGAGATGTGTGATCCCAATCACAGTCCATCCTCAATCTCTCTCAACAACCTTGTTTTTCTCTTACTACATACTAGGACTCTTACCTAAAGCCAGAGACTAACTGTTATCTTAGAGCCTCTATCTAGTAACTGATGAAAGCAGATGCAGAGATCCACAACCAAGCACCAGGCCGAGCTCCTGCAGTCTGATCAGAGAGAGAAGAGGGATTCTTGTGTGTGTGTGTGTGTGTGTGTGTGTGTGTGTGTGCGCGCGCGCGCACGCGCGCGCACGCACGCGCTTTTATTTGGTTACAGCTCGGTATTTTACTTTTTTATTTTATTTTATTTTACAATACAATTCAGTTCTACATATCTGCCACGGATTCCCTTCTTCTTTCCCCTCCCGCCCCCCTCCCCTTCTCCCCAGCCCACCCCCCAATCCCACCTCCTCCAGGGCAAAGCTTCCCCCAAGGACTGAGATCAACCTGGTAGACTCAGTCCAGGCAGGTCCAGTCCCCACCTTCCAGGCCGAGCCTAGCGACCCTGCATAAGCCCCAGGTTTCTAACAGCCAACTCTTGCAATGAGCATGAGCAAGAGACATCAAGATCATGATAGGGAAACCTACAAAGACAACCAAACTAGTGGGAACCCATGAAGCAAGTGCCCGTGGAAGCCAGAAGAGGGTGTCAGATCCCCTTGTAACTAGAGTTAATGATGTTTGTGAGCCCTCCATTATGGTTACTAGGAACTATACCTGAGTGCTTTGCATGAAGGTGTGGTCTTATCCTTTCAGCTATCTCTCCAGACCCCATCAAATTTATTAATGAGAATAGAGAGTATAGAAAAGTAACCGGTTTATGTTAATATTTCATCCGGTGCTATCACTGAATTTATGACTTCTAGTAGAATTCTTGATAGAAACTCTTGGATTTTCTTTGTATTAAATTGTATTAACAAATAGAAAAGGTTGGACTATTTTTCTTCCCTCTCCATTTATAATTTCGTTTCTTTCTGTTTCCTGACAAGATTTTGAATATTTGTAAAAAGAGGCACACATTGTTCTTGAACTTGGAGGAATGAGTCCCATCATTTTGCCATTTGGATGATGTTGGAACTAGAGAAATGCACTTCCCACAGATGGGACTGAAAGGTTTCCTTCTTCTCTATTTTCTTTCCTCCAAGATTGTCCAACTATTTTAACATTTAAGGTAAAAAAGGTATCTAGGTTTTCCTCTTAGTAACATTAGGAAGTGGGTGGATCATATTAAATATTCATCTGCATTGTGGCTCATTAGTTATTGAAAGTATGCATATTATAACAGTTGAAGGGTGTAATAAACTCCAGCATTCCGACTGTACTTTCAAAATCGTTTGTGCTCTGCAGCCTGCTGTATTGTGTTTGGATTGCACAGTTATTATTATTGTACCTTCATCCAAATGTGACAATTACAAAGCCAAAAAAGGAAGTCCATTGTTTTCCAATATGAAAGATAAAACATTTTTCTCTTAAAAATATTAGCTCTTGACTTCTATTGGATGATAAAATTTTGAGAAATACCCAATAATCAGTATTTATTACTGTGTATACTACAGGATATTCATGGATTCAAATAATGTAAGATTTAAAAGCTTTCTAATGTAAAAAGTTAAAAAAGAATCAAGAAAATGGGAGCCTGGGTGGTTTTAATTTAACATAATTTTAATAATTAATCTCCAGAAATTTTGTGACGTTGCTTGAAAAACTAAAGAGCAGATTTAGTTTAGCTAATATTTTCTGTGCCATCATACAATACTTTTTTTTACAAGTCGTCATTCATATAAAATAACATTTATTTTCATTTGTTCTCAATGTGGCATACTATTTAATGTCTCTCTTTCCACAAGTTGAATATCATACAATTAATAAGAATCTCAATTTTCTCTTTTTTTGGGCCCCATGAAGGCAAGAGAGGAGCAGGCTGTATTAAGCCAGATGAGTGACAAGCAGTGAATTTCACATATTAGTATATGGAACCCAATACTAGCCACTATATTCATTTCTGTCTTCAGCACCTAAGAACCCGGAGAGGGAATGACAGAGGTGATAGGAATGAGGATATAAAAAAAATAAATTGAAGACGTTTGTAGTCAATATGCTATGTCCATCACCTACCCATGTAATTCTGGAAGCCTCATCTGGTTTTCAGTTTCTGCAGGCTAAAGATATTCCATATTAAGAGGTAAGATAGTCCATCCTTTGCTTGGCATAAGTATCTGATTATACCATCACTTGTTGATTATTTTGGGCATGGCACTTCCTCTATTCGAGACTGCTAACCATGATAGTGTTAGAAATGAAAGTGGTCTGGGCAGTCAAGAACATTGCCAACCTTGTGTGGATTTTACTTGTAGTAGGGATGTCTTTTCTGCTTTTGAAATTCAAGAATACTTTTTCATTTATTTATTTTTTATTTATTATTTTTCATTTTTTGTTTGAGACGGGTTTCTTTGTGTAGCCTTGGCTGTCCTAGAACTTGCTTTGTAGACCAGTCTGGCCTCAAGATCACAGAGATCCACCTGCCTCAGCCTCCCATGTGTTGGGATTAAAGGTGTGTGTCACCACTGTCTGGCCTCTTTCTAACTTACAAAAACACAAGATGCACAGCTATCATTGTGGCCAAATTTACCAGAAATAAGTGTTAACTAATGACAGCTAGGGTGTTGCTGTTCTGCTCTGAGGTGACCCTTTGCATCTCATCGCAAATACTCAATGTGGGCTATTTAGAAGTTTTTAAGGGTGTTGCCACATTCATCTGTGGGGAATTTGTGTGACTATACATAATTACTTCATGATAGGGAAATGGAACTTGATAAATGTATATGTGAATTCTTGTTCCTTCTAAATATGTGGTGGACTTAAAGAATAAAGTTATTATTGGTCCTCTGAAAGGAAGTGGGTAAAGTGGAGAATTCACTAGACCTGAAGTAAATTTCTTCCTATATTATCTGCAGCCATCAAGCTATGTCAAGGGACTAGTTTCTGTTCTTCACTTCATTAAGACATAAGGAAATATCCAAAGGACATTAGCAAAAGATATGTGACAGAACTTCAATATTGGGCAAAATAGTGTAAAGTCATGTTACAATTTAGTTCAGCAATACAGCCTCAGCCTTGGTGAACCACCAAGGGGCTTTCACCTAGGAAGGTCAGGAAAGGAAGATGGGATTCAGGGTTATTGTTGTAATTTCATGCTAAAAAGAAAGATTCTAACCTTCTTAAAATAATTGAAAAGTGTAAGTTCATTTTACATTTTTGTTCCTTAGCAAACCAACAGAATTTCAAAACATGATCCTAATTTAGATCTCAGAGCTTTAGATTTGACTGTAATTAGTTCATGATTCCAATAGCTGTGAATTAATAGCAGACTGTATCTATGTGCTGAAACATTTGAGTCCATTTAGAAAAAAAATCACAGAAACTAACTGTCTTGGAATCCTCTCACATAACATCTACCTCAGACCAAGCAGCTGACATTCTGGTGGACATAAGACAGATATCCAGTCCCTCCCCTTACTGAGGGGCTGTTTGAAGTTGAGGGTTGCTGGGGAAAAGGGAAAACGCTTTTTAAAAAATGAATGTGACCACTTGTTGATTCCTAGGCTCAAGTGGATGGCCTATATTGGCAGCACTAATTGGACTTAGTGGGTTGTATATAAGAAGAAAGGACATGAAGATGGATTGGTGACATGTTGAGGGAGATATAGAGGGAAGTTTTAGGGTTAAATGGTAGACAGATTTTCTTATATTTCATTGTATATATGTATAAACTTCTCAAGAATACAGAAATCTTAATAAATTACTGTAGTTATATAACTGTATTTGCAATAGAAAGGTCTGACTTAGTTCTTTCATGCAGAGTTAATGATTGTTGAGGAGAGAGTTAATTGAGCTTACTGTCACCTGTCTGTCCACGGGCCTGTCAGTAATCTTATTGCTTTAGAATCTAGGAACTTTCAGCCTTAACCAGATAAGGTCAGAGGCTGCCCCTGAACTGCTTGCATAAGCAGGGTAATTTGTGTATACTTGCTTTCTATTGCAAGAGTGTCCTTGCATGCTCCAGTGAAAATCTTAGAAAATTATTTCAATAGCTTTTCTTGTAGAAAACAATTTCCATATGTTTTAAAAATCAAATGCAGGGATATGTTAGTGTGCCTGTGTGTCTTTCCTAGAGAATATTTACAGAATCATTCTCTTTTACTTTTTCTTTTCTATTTTCTTTTACT